AACATATACCGAACCGGAAACCGTGAACCGAACCGAATCGTGGATTTTGTGAACCATTCCAGCCTTAATACATATATATATATATATATATATATAGTCAGGCAGCAATTGGTTGTTGTTTTAGCAAAGCCTATGCTTAGAATCTATTGACTTTGGTTAACTATCATTTAATCACTAAATTAGCTGATGATAATGATAAGAATGATAACACTCCAGCCTTAATTGAGAAGTTATGGGATACTGGGTTTCAAGAACAGGACTTTCGTCACCCTGAAATGTCAAACACTAAATGAAAAAAAACACAAAAAATTGGGGATGGAAATTCATGTTCAGAAAACCAGAGATGTGAGCGACTAACTCAGAGGGAAGAAAAGTCCCTTTGCAATGTAAAAGTTGTTTGATTCCAGTTCCTGTTTGCCACATGCCGATGTGCCCACGTGCAAGGGACTTAATCCTTTATCTGTGCATGTTTGTTTGTGTGTTTGGGAGTGCAATAAAATGAATGTTGCTTTAGTTTCAAATGCAATGTAAATTCAGTCCTATTATTGGGATATTTCCCTAGTTAGGTTATAACTGCGATGAATCCTAGTAGGATTGTTTTGTGAGAAACAAACACAAAGGAAACCATATGTTCTTAAGCCAAAAGAAAATGATACATGGTTCGATTTAATCTTTTGGCAAATAATCAGTCTGAGAAAGTGGTTTGATAACTCCACAGCCACCTGTCTCAGAGGTTTAAAAAAAAAAAAGAAAGTTTTTCTTTTCTTTCTAATTACAGCTGCAAGAGTTTTTTTACCTCTTTACTAAATAGCTCTTTGATTGGATGGTTTTAATCTTTGATCCCTTTACCCTGAAAGAGAATCAGCTCTGGACTTTTACTGGGCCATTCTAAGAAAAGAATATGGTTTGATCCAAATTAGTAGTTCTCAATGCTGTTCCTCAGGTGCCACTGCCCTGCATGTTTTATTCAAATGATTACATAGACTCCTCAGCAGCCATCAAATGCTGCCGATAGCTGTTTAATTTATGCCAGGTGTGTGGCAGCNGATAGCTGTTTAATTTATGCCAGGTGTGTGGCAGCAACCATAGATGTGTGCAACCAATGATCTAAACCCTTGCTGTGTTTATATTGAGCAGCTGCGTCCTCCAAAGGCCAGATTGGTTGGCCGATTACGTCATAGCGCAGCACTGTGACCTGTTTGGATTTGAAGACTCCTTTGTAAGCCAAGCCGGCTGCTCCATGCTCAGAGGAAAAAAGGGAAATGGCGTCGAACATTGGCAAATAATGGTAAGTACAGTTTAATATAATACAAGTATGTGACTAGTTTCATCTTAATGAATAAAAATAGTTCATTGAAATTGTTAGTAAAAGGGATTTACCTCCTCATTAATGGGTGTTGAAAACAGGGAAGGTTTAAGTCTTGTCTTTATTGATGTAATTTTAAGAATTTATCTTTTATGTTCTCACCACTCTCTTCTTCACCTGGTCAGGTGTTGCCATGGAAGTGTGCCCATGAGCAGTGCTGACCTGGTGTTTCCAATCAGCCTCATAAGGGAAATCTACACTGACTGAGGTTGGGGAGATGTTTTGTTTGGATTTGGGGTATTGTTTAGCTTCAGTTTGTTTAAGGTTCATTGTAAATGTTTTTTTTCTTTGTTGTTTTTTTTTTATTTTCCTCTAGAGGTTTAATTTAGCTGGCTGTTCGCCAAATAGAAAATGTAAATGTTGTCAAAGTTTCCACCCCTTTTATTAGAGATAGTACAGGCTGATTTGTTAGAGCAGTGTTTTTCAACCCTGGTTCTCAAGGCACCCTGCCCTGCATGTTTTAGATGTTTCCCAGCTTCCACACACCTGTTATCAATTGATAGCAGATTATCAGGCTTTGCTGAACTGTAATCATCTGAATCAGGTGCGCTGAAGCTCAGAAACATCCAAAACATGTAGAGCAGGATGCCTTGAGGACCAGGGTTGAAAAACACTGTTTTAGAGAGCTGGGTTGTTTAAATGTGGGTGTGTCTTTTTTTAAGCTTCTGCTGTGATTGAAGAAAGTGGAACCCCTGCTCCTCTCTTTTAAAATGTAACAAGTTTTATATTATATACATAAAAACAGAGTTCTACAATTTTTGGAGCCAGTCAGATTTTTTTTCTTTTGGTATGATGTCTTTGCCTCACTGGCCATTTTTAAGTCCACCAGGTTTCTTCTTCTGTCTGCAAACCTTACAGTTAGTGAGTCAGATATGAGGCCAGTAATGTTTAATTTAATGGATTAATTGATTCCGATTAATTGTTTCAGACCAGATGCATTTTTATCTCCTCTGACCAGAAGTTGTTGTTTGGCAAGAATGATAGGCTGTAGAATAAATTATTAAACTAAACCTTCAACAAGGTTACATCATCCACAATTCTTTGTATTACACTGGAAAAGCCTGTTTTCCCCTTAAAAAAACCTGCCAGGATTTAAATTTCTTAAAAATAAAAGAGTGAGTTTCACACCACATGGAAAAAAAAAAAAATAAGGAGCTTAATAGTTGCGTTTTAATGTACCTGACTCTGCTTGCATCCGAGCTGCCTTGGCTTTCGCCAGCTCCAGGGCAGTGATCCACCGCTGACGCTCCACCTCTGAGCTGGCCTTCAGGTGATAGGTCTGAGCGCCGCCGTTAGTGATGACGAAGTTGCAGGCATCATCTACTGAGATGGCTGCTGTGGCCAAGTTGATCGTGCCCCGACATGTGTGACCCATCTCGGCCTGGGTCCTAATAGACAGAAGATCTAATGTTGACTTCTGGACAATGAATGCAAGAACTTTCACTTCAATACCTAAATTTGATAAAAAATAAAGGCACACAGTGTAACTTTTGGTCACTAGCGCTAGACCTGTAACTTTCGCCCCTAGTGGCCACAAGGACTTCAGTATTGTTGCAAAAATCAACGGTCAGCCAGCCAGCCTACTAAGTCTTTTGATTGCGGACGCACTAGGCGTCTAGGTTCAGCTCAGAGGGCATGAAAACATTGCTGCTCTCTGGAGAGTACTGCCGGGACAAACTGGATCACACTGATTGGTGCCGGGGGACCAGCAGCAGAGCTCCAGCAAAGAGCCACTGGGTCAGACAGGGAGTTCTTCCAGGTCAACAGCAGTGCATCTTCTCCCAACTTACATAGTCGATATTTCAAGAGGCGAGCCCCATTCGTAGCGTTGATAGTCTCAAGCATTATACATTGGCCTGAGGAATCATTTAAAATATCTCATATGCATCAACTCTTTAGGTCACAAAGTCCTTGGTGTGCCTTTAAATTTTGCTTTAGATGTAGGATTTACAACTGTTGCAGTTTAATCTGACTAACATAACAAACAAGGGAGAAATGATTGGATGGGATGAATAAGATATTAGAGAGAATAACTTAGGTGTATCTGACAGAGCTATGCTTTAATGTTGGAATCCTTACCTGTAGTATGACAGCAAGCCATTGCTCAAGACAAACCACCTCCTCTGATAACCTTTGATGTAATTTGTCCACTTGAAGACCCATCCTTTGTACGTGTCGCCAGCAGGGGTGGGAGTAGGGCTCTTGGGTTCTGACATCACACCCCCCCCAAAATCAGAGTTCTGATTTGAGAAACCTTAAAGGAAAGAAGTCCAAAAAGTTAAACATTTAGATTGAAAGATTAATAAAAAACTTTAAAGGATAATTAACAGCAGCAGAGATTTGCTTTCAAAGAACGACAATGATCCAGAAGATAGACACACTTCCGACACATCAAGAGGACTTCAAGGTTTCATTTGGAGTAAAAAAGAAAAAATGTGCTGAATGAGTTTTTTTTTGAGCAGTGGTAGTCAAATTTTTTTTCTCTAGATGGGATAAGTGTGGATGTGTGCATGTTTCACTTCTCTGTTTGGGGACCAGAACAGGCAGGTCAATAACCCCTCAATCCAAACAAGAGGACTGAAGAATCACATTTTAAAACGAGATATTAAAGAAATACTAATCACTTCTTTCTCTTTATTTTATAATTTAGCTTCTTATTTTTACAAGTATTTGTAAATATACATTTCTTCTCAAATATGTGTCAATCTTTACCTACATTAGAGATGTTTCATAATTCCTTAAAAAAAACTGATGGGGTTGTGAAAACATCTAGTGATAGGATGTTTCTTTGAGTCATTTTGGCTCCGTTCACACTCAATTCCCATTTTTTCCAAAATCCGATTTTTATTTTTTTTCCGTTGCCATTCACATTTCCAAATATATGCGACTTGTATGTGATCTCCTGTGTGAACTGTAATCATACAACGCAATTGTCCTGCATTTGCAGTAGAGGACGCAATGACGTCACAGGCCAGCGTGCTCTGTGTTTAAAGAAGTAAACATGGATGGTAGTGCTGGAGAACATCTAGCGATTGTTCCCAACCATAAAAACACAATGTTTTCAAGATGGTTAAACATAAATACTGCGCTCCGCATCACCGTCTGCTATGGTTTTTGTTTTTCTCGCCGCTTCTTCATAGCATAACCCAGAATATTGACCTTTGTCGGGTATTAATGGCGTTCAGGTCGGATAAATGTGACCTGGCCACTCAGACACAGGTCGCATTTGAAAAGATCAAATTCGTATCAGATTCAGGACCACATACACAAGTGGCCTGGTTTGAATTGGAAAAAATCGGATCTGTGTTGTCCAGAATGCCATGAAAAGATCAGATCCAGGTCGGATATGGGCAAATAAATTGGATTTGGGTCACTTCAGGCTGCAGTGTGAACGTAGCCTAAGTCAAGATCAGAGGTCATAACTTCTCACTGTTGGCTGCTAACAGATATATCAGCTGATGGAGCACATAATGTCAAATGTCGAAAAAATTGATTTGTGTCTCTAAAGTATACAATGAAATTAATGTGAGGTAGATTTTATTATAAGGCACTGCTATCACATTTTACAGTACTTGATGATTGCAGGGGACGGCTTTACAAAATTACCGATGGGAAATCACACTTGAAAAAACTTATTGCAACATATTGTCTTTAAAACAAAAGCTAAGAAAATTTAACAAGGAAAAATATGTCAAATCACCATCAAAAAGATTATTTAGTACTTCAGGAGCAAGATCAGTTTCTTTAAGATTGAGTAATTGTAGCAGGTTTAGGTGGATTTGCAACCAGCACATACAAACATTTTTAAGGGTATAAAATGTACTCATTTATAGCTATTTCATGTAGCTTTGAAACAGTAATGGGACTAAGTTCATTCCAGGCTTATGGATGCATTCACCTTGTTGTTCTAAACATGTCATAAATCTGCTTTTTAAGAAATGTTCTATTTAATTTCCTACTCGAGTCTCTCTTTTTTTGTGTGTGTGAACTGATTTTTTTTTTATCCTTTAAGGAAATAGCTCATGGTTATTTTAACTGATCTTTAAATGTAGAATCAGGGGTCAAAGGTTAAATGAGGAATCAATACACACATTCACATTTGTCAATTCATGCTCACATTAGCCTTAAAACTCCAAGTAGCTACTAAGAAGCAGGAAGCTAGCTTAATCATTTCATCAAGTCTTACACTAGCTAGTGTTGAATTAAAAAAGGTTATCTTTTTACATCACTGAAAGCGTTTTTAAAGCAGAATATTGAAATTATTTTAGTGAAAATAGGACAAACGTAAGAGAAAGCAGGTCCCGCAGCACCAACAAAAAACAAATAAACCAGCAATGAAAGGTTTTCAAATGATTTGTTCAAAAGCAACGAGCCTGACATGTAGGAGCTAGCCTGACAACAGATTAAAAACTTTTAAAAAATCTCCGCTGATATCAACTCACAGCTAATATGAGCAAATGTCGAGAAACATAACCCGACACATTTGATCGACGTTCACAAGCTGACATTACAGTAATGCGGGCGAAATACCCAGATGAATATTCATTTGCTGAGAACTAGCTAGCTCAAATATTCGCTGGCGGCTGTATGTTTACCTTGACGTGTCCAAAATGCCAGATGAGGAAACCAGACAGGCAGTGAAGTCACTGCTAACTCTGACACCCCATACGCTAGCAGGCTAGCCGAGCTAGCTCAGGCTAACACTGCAAGATTAAAGCTGGGGGGGAAAAGTCCAGGACGTTGACGACAACAGCGATGAAGTGTTATTACAGTCCTACAGACGTGCTGTTTGTAATGTCCGCCGCACTGCTGCGCACAATTAGAAAGATCTAAAGCTAGCTTGCTACATCTAACTAGCCTAACATTAGCTTGTAGGAGTCAACCGGTGCAACTTGATTAATGCCCGTGTGGAAACCTGGTTACTTTCCCTCAATTATCGCTATCAAAAAAGTTAATCTATGTACAAAATTGGTGTTTGGCTTATGTTAGTATATATAAATATACCTTAAACTTAATGCAGTATCGGTATAAACATTGGTTAACGTTATTTTACTGTCTACATAGTCTTTATAAAGACCAGAGTTATAAACTCTTATTTGGCCAGCCTAGTCATAGAATATGATAAAATGGCTTCCACTGAACAGTTTTTATAGACGGTTACTGCAGTAGATCATTATTATAAAGAAAGTGGGGGAAAAAACTGACGATGGAGTCGGACGCAAGGTCGATTCATACTATTTTACGAATTAAAAGCTAAGAAAAGGTTATAGACCAACAGCCATTGTAAAATACAAATTGGAAGTTACTTTAGAACTTAAACATACACAGATGACACTAAGATTTAAAAATTGTTGTTTCAATTCCTCACTAAAAAGCGACTCCGGTGGGACTCGAACCCACAACCTTTGAATCACTTAGTGTATGCCTAGAAGTCCAATGCGCTATCCATTGCGCCACGGAGCCACCTGTTGATACAGCACGACAGAATTGGATATGAATCAAAAACAATACGTATTGTTTGAGAGTTGATATATTAATCATTTATTTACGCTGTTATAACCCTTTGTAAAAATGTTAGTGAGAGTATTCCTTTCAGAATTCAGCTCTATTAGTTGCTAACGGAGTACTACTTGTCCCACCCATTATAAAACACAAGATGGCGCTAGTCCATTACAGTAAGAAACCGATATATTTTTTTTTTTTACCACCTGTTTATATTAATGTTTTCACTTCCAATTACTGGATTTACTGGTCACATATTATTGGCATAATAATTAAAGAAGGTGCAAACAAGGAGGAAAAAGGTGCATTAAGAGTAAACAATATATATACAGTATATCAAGGTATATACAGTATATCAAGATAAATAGGATTAAGGTGCAAGTGTAATTATTATTATTATTATTATTATTATTATTATTATTATTATTATTATTATTATTATTATTATTATTATTATTATTATTATCTCTACATGAGGTTTTATGGTGTGTTTTCAATTTTTGGTGTATTCAAGTCATGTCTAATTTATTTTGACATGACCGTAATTTCAAATAATCAAATTTCACAAGGTGTTTTTCAACCTTTTCCAGAAGCCCTATTACTACTCACTGGTATACATTAATGTTGTTAGATTATCAAACCTGACAGAAATGCAGTCAAGGGTTTTATATACTATCATCAAAAAGTCAATCAAATGCAGTTACTGATCTAAAAAGGTGCAATAAATACACAGAGGAAACTGTGATAAGCTCTGAAATAGCCCAGAGCAGGAGTCACCAACCTTTTTAAGGCTGGGGGCCGTAGGAGGTACTGACCTATGAAATGGCGGGGTCAACGCTCACCTAAACATCATCAATAATAAACATATTTCTAATAGTTTTTTTAATATGATGAAATGCTCTATAAAATATACAAAAGCTAGAGCAACTTTATTTCTTTCTTTCTTACTTACTTATTTGTCTTTCTTACTTTCTGTTAGGATTATTGTTATTGAGGATGTGTGAGCATGCTAAACAAATAAACTCTGCAACTCAGGGAGAGTGCAATTTAGACCTGCTTTACTCTAAAATCAAAGATGCATTCAGAGCAGCTCCCACCTCGGGTCATCAGATAACCTCTCTGTCATGCAAATTCCTGCATACATCCCCAGCTATTCAAGGCTAAACCGACAGACAAATTAATCAGAGTATGGTGCAAAGGGGCCATGGAGAAACTACAAGACTGCTTTGAATGCTCTGACTGGAATATCTTTAAGGCTGCAGCAAGGTATGATAACAGAATATAGATGACTCTGCCATGACTGTGTTAGCCTACATCAACAAATGCTTTGAGGACATCACCATTTGGGCAAACCAAGCACCCTGGATGAATGGAGAGGTTCAGGTATTGCTAAAAGCACAGAACTCGGCTTTCAAGTGTGGTGATAAAGAGGCACTAAGAACAGCGTGTTCCAACTTAAACCGTGCCATCAGATCAGTGAAGCTGAACCACAGCCAGAAGATCTAGGATCTTTTCCACGATGACAGAAACACCAGGGGGATGTGTAAAGGCATTCGGATGATCACAGACTACAACACACCCTCCCCCTCCGGTAGATGCAGCAAACATTGACTTCCTAAATGAACTGAACAACTTCTTTGGAAGGTTTGAGGCACTAAACAGCACTCCAGCAGTGAAAGCTGTTCCACCCCAGGGGGAGGAGACACTAACCCTGGTGAGGAAAACTCTGAGAAGAGTCAACCCAAGGAAGGCCCCAGGGCCCGATAACATACCTGGGCAGGTTTATAAGGGGTGTGCAGATCGCCTGGCTGGTGTTCTCACATATTAAAAACCTCGCTGGAGGTTTTAAATCCATAGTGCCAATCCATAGTTCAATCCATAGTGCCAGCATTCTTCAAGTCTGCCAACATCATTCTGTTCCCAAAGAAGCATCAGGTCATCTAACTGAATGATTACCGGCCTGTACTGACTCCAATCATTATTAAGTGCTTCAAAAAGGCTGTTTAAAGAACACATCGTCTCCGGTCTCCCCCCAACATTCGACCCGTTTCAGTTCGCCTACCAACGGAACTGCTCCACTGAGGACGCCATCTCCTCTGCTCTCCACCTGAGCCTGGCACACCTGGAGGAGAAGAACACCCACATGCAGATGCTGTTCCTGGACTTCATTTCAGCTTTCAACACCATCATCCCACAGCTTCTGATGGGCAAACTGGAACGGCTGGGATTCAATACACCCCTCCACAATTGGCTGCTAGAATTTCTCACCAACAGACCTCAGTCAAACTGGGTTGGACAGAACACCTCTGATGTCATCACCTTAAGCACAGGCTCCCCTCAAGGCTGCATCCTGAGCCCCCTGCTGTTCACCCTGATGACACATTACTGCATCCTCAGGTTCACCACCAATCACATCGTGAGGTTTGCAGACGACACCATGGTGGTGGGCCTCATCAGAGACGACAACGACCTGGACTACAGAGAGGAGGTGGAGCAGCTGGTGGACTGGTGCAGAGATGACAGCCTGATCCTGAACGTGGAGAAGACGAAGGAGGTCATGTTGGACTTCAGTAAGAACCGGCCTAACCACGCTCCACTGCTCATCAACAGCTCAGCTGTTGAGGTGGTCAGCAACACCAAATTACTGGGGGTGCACATTACAGACAACCTCACCTGGAGTGTAAATACCACCTCACTGATCAAAAGGGCACAGAAACACATGTACTTCCTGCAGAGGATGAAGAAAGCCCACCTGCCCCCACCCATCCTCACGATCTTCTACAGAAGCACCATAGAGAGCGTTCTGACCAGCTGTCTCACTGTGTGGTGTGGAGGCTGCAGCGCCTCAGACTGGAAGAAAGTGAGAAGAGTGGTGAGAACAGCAGAGAAGATCATTGGGCCGTGCAACAAACTATATTATAATAAAACTAAAATGCTTTCTTTAAACCAAACTACGATGTTCCTCTTATATTTGCCGAATTTATGTTAGAATATTTTGCAAAAATATGTTGCGGTACATGATGGGGTTTTGCATCTAATGGCTAATGTTTCCTGTCTTACGTGCATTGTTGCCAGGTTGGGATGTTTCCCGATCTCTTCAAGTTGAAGATAGATCACTTAATCCACAATGTGTATTCGGATTGCGTTTCACATTTTAGATGCACGCGTTTGACTGTGCTTCTATCTACTGGAACTCCATTCCAGTAGATGGCGGTAATACACATCAATAAGTTGCTTGCCTTAAGCCATAAAAAAAAGAAGAAGAACATCTCATCAGAAAATCAGTATTAAATAGAATCATTAATGAGAGATACAGAAGGGAAGAAGTAATAATGATTAGATTAAGAGTGGGTCATACCTATTTAAATGACAATTTATATTTAATAGGAAGGAAAAATAAAGAAAATAAAGGATGTGGAGGAAAAGGAAAATATAGAACATGTACTGATGAACTGTAAAACATATGAACATGAAGGGAGAAATTGAGAGGGGTGGTTGGAAGGACAGGCCAAGATTGGATTCTTAAAAGAATATAATGAATTTAAGGAAATATCACGGATATTCACAGCTTAAGGAAAGCATTGCTTATTTATCTACAGAATACAAAATTTAATAAATATAGAATTTGATGTAAAGTAATGTTGCTACACACTCATGTACAGTAGGTGGCGGTATGCACCTTAAAGTTGCTTGCGATGAGCCATAACAGAAAAGAAGAAGAAAAACATCTCACCAGACAGGAAAACAAATGGGAGATATCTATCTTGTCATCCAAACGGATCTTTGATGTGTCCACCCAGGAGCGGAAGCATCCGGGATTCCGCTCAATCCATCGCTCCAAACCAACCAGACGCTTGCAGGGTGACGGAGCGTTTGTGTTTCTTCTCAACAGAGGGGCTCCCTTTCCTTTAAGCCTCGCTTTGCACCATTTATTCAGGCTTTATCAGCGCGGGACATGCTCTTTGAGGTTTGAACGTCTCCTTTAACGCAATAGAGGTGAAACAAAGCCAAGCAGGATGCTTTAAATGCATGCAATCTATGGAAATATCAGAAGTATCTGCATTTTTATCCGCCTTCATTCTTTATTCCAGGTCTTTGCAATAGTCGCCTGCTGCCTGGACGTTGGAGGGGATTAAGTTACTGCTGCTGGCGGAGGATTATTTTATTGGCCTCCTGTCACGCCTGCAGCCAGGCTTTGGTGATCCTGTTTCCAATTAAGAACGGAGGAAAAAAAACAAAGAAGAAGGTATGTTTGTCCTGGAAAATAAACGGAGCGTTCCTCTTTAAAAAGAAACGCCTGCCTCATTGTGGGTTTAACTGCGCTGTGACGCCCATCCTTTGTTGCTCATTCAGTCTGCAGGCAGACAGGCTGAATCTAGATGCATGTTTATATCAGCA